TTAATTATATTAGACAAAATTAATATTTTTAAAACTAATATTTTATTTTTTAGTGACCTTAACATTTTCCTTGCTATCCTAACACTGCCCTTTGAACTCCAATTAGTTAGGAAAGTTACTGTCCCTTCAGCTACTATATGGAGAAGACACGGTATAAGCTTTATTTGAATTTCATTTATTATTATTTTAAGAGGTGTTTGTTTTGAATTCGTACAAATAATTATTAATGGTTGATCTTAACTAAATAAATTAAATGCTCTATATTATAAATAATAATAATTGTTAGTTATCAAACATTAATTATTAGTTATTAATTATATCTAAACAATTAATTCAAATATTTCCTTATATTTATTTTATTAGATACACTTTTGCATGATATAATTATAAAAAAATTACCAAAATTTATAAAAATAGAATTATTATTTATTGAAAATTTATGTTTATTCTTATTAAAAAGAGAAGTTGAGAAATTGAGATATGATATTTTAAAAAATTGAGTAATTATTAATAGAGAAAATTAATTTAAAAAAAAGATAACTTTAATGCTATTTTTAAATAAGAAATTGACAAATAAATTAGACTGAAAACTATAACAAACAAATTGAACCACATCTTTTGATTAAAAAAAAAAAGTGATACGTGGAACGGACATGAGGTAATGTGTATGTTGGGATTGAATAGGTAGAACATCATAGTTTTAACGGTTTTAAAGATAATGGTCTCATTTAATAGGTATACATAATGTTAAACTTTTCATTTTTAATTTCACCTGATCCATTTTCCATTAATCATATGTAACATTTAACTTAACTTTTGGGCTTGTTGGGTTAAAAGGCTAACTCTACCAAAAAGTTTAAAAATAGTTGAAAAAATATATATTGCATGGAAAATTGATAAGTGTAGTACCAAAGTTAATAAATTTTATAATAAAATTTTGTGAAAATTCTATTAGATTGTTAATTTTTCTATAATTAGTAAAAAATTAGCATAAAACTATAGGGAGAGTTGGTAGAAAGTTGTCAAGTGAATCTATATAGTGAAAGTTGGGTGGAAACATTTTTCCTTCAAAAAATGTGGGGAAAAATTTTATAAGTTGAAAATTTTGTCAAAAAAATAAAAATTAAAAATGTTACTTTTATTGTTATTTTATTATAATATTAATGTATAAAAATATATAAATAATTTTATAAAAAGATTTAAAAAGCTTTAAAAGAAAAAGCTTTCTCAACCAAACAACTCCTCAAAGTGTTTTGAAATTGGAGTAGGTCTACAGGGTCATACTGGCACCAAAACTCGTCCATTTTGTTCTGAGTTGGCGCTGACCGAGCGTTGGCTGACGGAAGGTTGAAATCCTTAAGGATTGTAATTTGAGAGACTAAAACCCTCAAACATAATTAGTTGAAGGGGCTGTAAGGAGGTTATGCCGCATTGATGGAAACCGGAAAACATTTTCTTCAATTTTTTTCTTTGGTTTTATATTTGAATATTTAAATATTTGAATAACGTTAAATATAATTTATATATATAACTAATTTTTTTTAAAAAGTATAGTTTAGATTATATTAAATTATAAAAGATTAATTGTTATATAAAAACCTCTTAATATTAGAGACTTTCTCCTCATTTACTAGCTATTATTTTACAATTAAAACTACAAAATATTTTTTTTATCTTAAATTGTACAATAACATGCAACTAACTTTTTAACCCAACCCCAGTTGGTTTTGTCTATAATTAAAAAGATAACTCTAAATCTTACATAATTATATTAACGTTATTTTTCGCTGCAAATTACTAATCACTGCTACGTTTCAATTATATGTTAATTGCAGAGAGGATAGTTGAGAGTGAAATGAAATGTCACTAAAAAGTTTATAATAGTAAAAATTTAAGTAGATCATATTTTTATTTTTGGGTATGTTTAACATGTGTCTTAAAGATATAAGGTGATAATGCATTAATTATATTTTTTTCATTAATTTATATAAAAATATACAAAGTAACTCTATTTTTAACCAACAATAGATGTTTAATTTTTATTGGGTAGTTATTAAAATTAAAATAAATTTTTATTTTTTATAATAATTAATGAAAAAAATATAATTAATATACTTTAATTTGTGCTCTAATAATACACGATAGACCACC